GCTTCAAAGTATATATGTTCAGAACACTAAAACAAGCTTATTCTGTAAGTTTCAGAAAAATCTAAAGAAAATGGATTTTTCGGAGAACGTCCTTAAATTTCGTGAAGGTTATGGGGTACGTGTAAAATGGCGATTTTGAGATAACAATTTTCCCATATACTATGGACAATGCCCGACTCAGGACCCATAGGGATGGCGCCCCCATCCCGAACCTTCTTCCCCCCCTCAAAAGTCCCCAAAGGTGGGGATAGGGTCAAAAATGACGGATTTTGAAACTTTAAAGGATGCTATCTCATAGAACTCGACGAGCCAAACACAAAAGGTGGTACAGTTTTGCCCTAGAGTTGACAGTATTGGAGATAGAGGGCGTTAAAGTGTACAAAAAAAATTTTTGGAATTTCAAAAGTTTAATAATTTTCCTGTAATGTAGGGCCAACGAGAAGACGAAAACGTGGTATACGTTTTTGTTGTATGTCTCACCGTTTGACCATGAAAAGTCTGTTTGTGTTTGCTAAGACACAAAACGAATTTTCTAGGGGAATTAGGTCATCGGAGAAGTTCGGTCATGAGGAGAAAAGTTGTTTCTCTCGTCGAGGCGCATCGAACCCCATAGATGAACATTTTTTTTGGATTTTCAAAAATTAAAAATTTTTCTAAGCCCCACTCAAAAATAAAAAAATGTCCCTGTTACGTCCTGAGCGCGAGTTTTTAGCGGTCTCGAGACGCGACACAAGTTTGTGGGAACGCGAGCGCGGAGCGGGGCGCGCGGGGCGAAGCCTTGGCTTCAACGCGGTGTTATGACGCGTTTTTCTTTCGTGGGAGCGGGCAGCTGTCACCAGTGCTCGGAAATGAGCACGAAATTCGGAGATAATGTATTTAATTTACAAGAGATTGAAATGGCTATCCCCTCGTGTCCTTCCAATAAAATAAAATAGGGAGTTTAGAGGATGCGTCAGTTGGCTTCATTTCGCTATCACTCTATCTACACTCTCTGTTGGTTTGGGAAGAACAGGAAGGGTGCGAGAAAGAATACAAATAAATACGGTTTTACGATTTTAATATTTATGTTACACGGCTGTATGGTCCTTATATTGGGCCGTGAGGTCACTAGGATAGGCCTCGTAGGCTTCCTGACCGGGGCCACGTGCGACGGAGATCGCGGTCTCGGAAGCGGAGGGCGCGTGGTCTCTTTCGAAGCCTGCGGTTCAGCAATGGAGCTAGGCGCCTCTTTCGTTTCCGACGCGGCGTTGTTGGTGGTGGTAGGATGGGTATCGGCCCAGTATCTAGCGGGGTCGAATTCCCCAGACTCGTGGAGTGCCCTTTTCAAAGCGCGGAGGTGCACCCGCCACCCTCCCGCTCCCCTCTTACTCCTAATACGCTTCCTTTTTGGCATCTATGTACCCGAAAAGAGAGAAGAAGAATAAGTGCTTGGTGGGGAGGATAGGAACCCTCGACGCCGGTTAAAGCGCTCGACGGAGCTTCCACGAGGAATGTACTTGGATGACAACGCTCCCGTTGAAGCGCGGTCGT